AAGAAGGGCATGCAATTGCAATAAGGAAGGGGAACCGTACATTTCAATTTTATATTTTCATTGTCAGGGAAAAATGACCAAGTCATGTCATGGTCAGAATTCTCATTCCCCTAAAAAGCACATCCCAAATCAATTTTTATATGGGAAAAGACACTTCCAAACACCAGAGTCGGCCTATACTAACTGCGTATTGAATGTCCAAATATGAGATACCCATTTTTAAATTTCCTTTCCTAGTAACAAACACACCCAAGCGTTACAATACTACAGAAAGAAACTTTTGTCCATGTTTTAACTAATAACTCATTAAGCTATATCCATATAAAATGAGTTTCAAAATCATCCTACTTTTGTCAATAGATAGGTCGTGAAGTTAAAGCTAAAGGATTAAGTAATTAGTTATGTAAATTCATACTTTCCGTTCAGCTCCTATCCTTTTTGCACGTTTATTATATAAGTTAATGCTGGCCACTTTTATCAATTTAGTACCATAAAACCTTGCTAATATAGTAAAACCAAATTCAAAGGCAATAAGATTCTGGACTATTTACCATAGATTTTGTTAGAAATAAGTGCACTGCAACCCATACCACGGCGAGATGGACCACCACAGTCCTACAAATGTAAAGGACAAAAAATTATCAATACAACGATAAAACTAAAAAATAGGTGTTGAGATTTCATAAACACGAAATACATAGTAGAGGAGAATCGTTCATGTCTACTACATGAAGATCACAAACAGAAAGCAGTGATATAAACGATAAAACTCTTACCCTATATGTGTTCACATCAGAGCTTTGTAATAAGAAATAGAATAAGTTAGAGTCAAAGTTCCTCCAACTAAAATTCTAGTTTCAAGTACCATATTATATGCAAATAACCACAATTAATTAACTTCTACCTAAGGATGAGAAGTCGAGGGTTGGAAGAAGTGAATTCTTCTTCTTCAAATTTTTAACGTAAAAAGAGAAAATAAAGATTAAAAAATCAATAAAGTTGCTAGAACATCAAAAAGCCCATACCTTACAGCCACGGTTGAATATCATTGTACTGCATAGCTGCTCCAGACAGACACGGAATTGCAACAAAAGTAAAAATGCAATCATATTATAAGTTTAGTAAAAAGCCTTTGCTTGGCTCATTTTTTAATCTATAATTGCAGCAAGCAGCTCATTAGGCTCTTGTTTGGGCTCCATTAAAATCAAATTTTTGGGGAAAAATATATTTTGGAATAATTATTTTTTTAAGAATGCGTGGTTAAAAAAAAGGAAAATTTTGGATTTACGTGTAATATTATTAAATTGGAGAATATACAGTTGAAAATAAGAGAGAGAAAAATGCATTTTGAATAATATGGAACCAAACAGGGGCTAGATGATTATTAGCTAAACTTAAAACTATACAACCATTACTAAACACCTAAATTTCAGTACATATAATGGGAATACTTTCAATACGAGTCAAATAAATTAAACTAAATAAATAAAGAATTGTAATGTAACTTGATAGAGCCAACCTGAAACAAGAGCATAGTCCCATTTACTTCCACTTTATAAAACCTAAAACTAAAAGTAGGCTCCAAAATCAATAACTACACAGCATAAAACTAACATTTTTCGAGTTAATTATTCCAATAATCACCAAACTTAGGTTGGTGTTTTCGATTGCTCACTATATTTTCAAATATCGGGTTTTGGCCACTAAACTTTTCAAAATGTCGAATGTTACTCACTGGGATGATTTCGATTTCGTAACTACAATGAAATAGATGACAAGATAGACATATTGCACAATTAGCACCCAATCATTAAACAAATGCCCAATGTAGGAGAAATGTGTCTTTCATTGATCACTATACTTTGACAAATGTGTTTGTTGCTCACTATACTTTTACGGATTTGTTTGATTGTTTCTTATACTTTAAGGTGGTCGAGTTTTAATCACTAAATTTCTGAAACTGATACCAGAATGATATGAAAATGTAGAAATAATCAGAGCTTTTCAGGAACACGCATGCTTTATGAATTTACGATTAGAATGACTTGAATGATTCAACATTCTCTTTTTGCAAGAGAATGATGGTTTGTAGTATCTGGTATGCAGAGTCAAGTGGATAGAATTTTACAAGAGTAGTAATTACATTAAAAACATGATGCTGGAGCTAATAATTACCTTAAAAATATCCACAAAAAACATGATGTTAAAGCTAATAATTACATTTAAAAACATCCACCAAAAAATATCCAAAAAAATTATGCTAGAGCTAATAATTACGACAAAAAATGTGCATCAATCAAAAAATTTAGAGCAGACATCCCTCTCTACTTGCTTATATCCTTGCTCCGGGTCTTCTTCAAAGTGGGGAATACATTGCCTCATGACTGCCTTTCATTTTCGTGGAGGTAATAGTCCTTCATTTGGCAGAGTCTACTTCGAAGAAGCCCCATGTGCAAGGATATACGAAGGTGATGAGAGGTGTCTGCTCCAAATTTTTTTATTGATGCACATGTTTTTATAGATTTTTTGAATGTAATTAGTAGCTCAAACGTCATTTTTTGAATTATTTTGGTGGATGTTTTTATTTTAATATAATTATTAGCTTTAGCATCATGTTTTTCGGATTTTGTTTTGGATGTTTTTTAATGTAATTATTAGTTCCAACATCACTCTTTTTGGATTTTCTTGAATGTATTACTAGCTTTAGTTGCACCGTATTTTATATTTCTCCTTTCGTTCTTGTTGATGTTAACGCTCTTTTCTCTCTCGTGAAATTCTATCTACATCACTTTCCATACTAAATACTACAAACCATTCATTCTTGCAAAAAAAAAATGTTGAACCATATGAGTGATTCTAATCATAAATTCTAAAAACATACGTGTTCTTGAAGAGTCTCTAATAATTCCTAAATTTTCATATCATTCCGATATTAGTTTGAGAAGTTTAATAGCCAAAACTCAACCACCTTAAAATATGGTGAGAAATCAAAGACTTCTATCAAACTATAGTGAACAATCAATACGCCTTTCTCCATCATTGGGCATCGATTGGATGCAGTTGTGCAATTTGTGTGCCATGTCAGCTATTCCATTAAAGTTACGAAACAGAAGTCCCCCTAGCAAGTTACCTTTGACATTTTGACAAGTTCAATGGCCAAAACTGACACGTGAGTTTGGTTAACAATCGAAGACACAAATCTAAGCTCAGTCATTATTGGGACAATTAACTCACATTTTCCTATACATCAAATAGTGAATTTTCTAAACGGCAGTGGCGCGTTCCTTGATTCAAGTTTTACGGCCGTTCATTGTTTTAATAAAATATAAATCTGTACTAAAATCAAATGAATAAATGTACCTTATACTCCATAACAATGCATTTTACACACGAATACAAACATATATACAAATTTGTAAATTAGAGACGCACCCGTCTTCGCTGAGGATGCCATGGGGAAATTTAGGGAGCGGGGAGGTTAAGCTGTAGCTGTAGAGCTTGTTGTAGTCTTTAACACTGAGTTCGCACTGTGCCAACACCGAGTCACGACTGACTCGGTGCAGAATCGTTACCGTGAATACCAGAAGAAATTGTGGATTCAGAAGATTACTAATTCTCATTTCTTTTTCTGAAACTTCATAGCCGATTATTTTTTGTAATTTTGTATTATAGTATGAGAGCCGATTGAATACAGAATTTGAATATTAGATCCAAACGACAGCCTTTGCAAGAGACAAAGAAGACGGAAGGTGTTTTCTAATTGGACACTTTAGTGAAATTTTAGGCAAAAAAAACAGTTTTGAATAGTTCCCAAAAAAAATGGTAAAACGGGATTATGATGCAATACAAAAAGAATAATAATTGTGAGCAACATAAAATATGTGAATAAAATTAATTATTAATTTTAATTTAAAATTTTAATTAAATTTTAATCCAAATCACATAAAGACTTAATATAAAAATTAAAAAATGTAAAGATTTAACTAATATAGTTGAAATACATATATATATATATATATACATACATACTTGCTGCTTAGCATAAATTAAGCACAATACTTAAGAGATTATTACTTTATACATATATAACTTTAGACACAAACATGACACATGTGGCCTCGACAGGTATTTAAATCCTGAACCAAACACATATAGAGCTTATTTAGGAAGGATTTTAATCCAATTAAAATTGAAAATATAATTGTTATTGAATCCATTCATCTAATGAAAGTCAACAATAAAATCTAATTTTCAATTTTATTCCCTCTTAAACAAGCTCATAAAAAGCCAATCTTCAATCTAAACCGTCTCCCTCAATTGACAACATTATTGCATAGTAAGCATTTCTATTTAATTTTTTTTACTTAGCCCCTCAATTTCCAATTGCAACACATTATAGTCCTCATTGTAAACCCAACAATTAACTATGTCAACGAACCAAGTCAGAAAAAAAAAACTCAAGCTCGGCTCGAACTTTTTTTAGCCCAAGTCAAACTGAGCAAAGCCTAACCAAAAAAATGAGGCTCAACCCTAGCTTGATCAGGTTGAACCGAGCTAGCTCGTGCTTTTTGAATTTTTTTTTTTTTTGAGCAAGTTAGTGTCTACAACAAGCAACTATTTTCAGTTGCCTTCGGTTTCCAGTGAATTGACAGCTAAAAATAGTAAGCAACTCTTTAAAAAAAATTAATTTTTATTTTATTTTTTTTAATAATAATGGACAGGCTCGCCTCAGCTCAAGCCGACACCTCAAAATGGGACTCAACACAAGCCGACAAACTTTTTACCGTCCCTACCATCAATATAAATCAAGGATTAAACCATTCAATAACAATATATACAGTAGACATCAAGGCTGAAACGAAAAGTTTCATTCAAATTAAACCATTTAATAACATCAAAACAACCACTGATCCCACAAAATGAAAACCATTTCTTCACCTCCCTAAAATCTTGCAAATCCACACCCAAAAAAAAATAATAATAATAATACATTAAACAATTCAACCACCAAAACCGTACAAAGTTCGTCCTTGTCTCTTCAAAGCATAAACAACATCCATAGCAGTCACCGTCTTCCTTCTAGCGTGCTCAGTATAAGTCACTGCATCGCGAATCACATTTTCCAAGAAAATCTTGAGTACCCCTCTCGTCTCTTCATATATCAGCCCGCTAATTCTTTTTACTCCGCCTCGTCTCGCCAGTCTCCGAATTGCCGGTTTGGTGATACCCTGGATGTTGTCACGAAGCACTTTACGGTGACGTTTTGCTCCGCCTTTTCCCAGACCCTTGCCACCCTTGCCACGACCAGACATCTTCTTTAAGGCGAAAAGGAGCGAATTGATTTCAAAATTGGTGTGATGTGTTTGATGATGGCGATGAGCAACTTAGGTTGATTTATAGGGAAGAATTTGAGGGGATTTGAATTTGGGGGTATGGTTTATGGCGGTCAGTTTTGAATTTTTTCGGTTTTGGACGGCTAAATTGCGATCCGCTCGCTGGAGTGATATTTAATGTGAACCGTGGATGATAGTGTGAGAATCGACGGATATAAGAACCAGTACATTTATATGGATTGATGACGCGGCTATTAATTTCGCTGCGGCTATTATTTTGTAAAAATAATGTTTTAAATAGTGAATTTTTTGATAATGCGTGGTGAAAAAGTGTAGAAAAAATTTTAATTTATGTGCAAAATATATTTTAGTCTATATTTGATTATTATTATTTTAAAATTCTATACTTCTAGCACTCACAATTTCAACCACGCATTTATACAATAAATTTATTCCACGTAAATCCAATAATTTTCTATATTTTCTAGCCACACATTCTGTCAAAAAATCACTATTTAAAACACAATTTTTTCAAAACAATGACCATTAAATAGGAGCTTATTGCGTCAATGTGTAATTGAAAATGAATATGAGAAGTTTTAAAAAGAGTCAAACAAGGGCTTCACTATTTATGGCCTTCCATAATACTTATACTAATTTCACAATTTTCTTATTTTGCTACCCAAATACAACATACAAGCCCTTGTTTAGTGGAGATTAAAAAGAGATTTTCAATAGATTTTGATAAAAAATGATGAAGATGTGATAAAAAAGTTATGAATTTTATGAAAATTATTAATTTTAACTTATATTAAAATTTAAATTTTAATCCCTACTAAATATAATTTAAACATTTAAATAAATGTGAAAGGGTCGAGTCCCTCCATCTTACGAGGGCCCTAGCTGCAAAAGCACGGTGCATGGGCTAGGATATTAGTTGATTGGGCTCAAGATTTGAACTTGTATACCTTTCTTCCATTGACAAGGAGGTGACATCATAAATTTAGGATGCAAAAAAATGTTAAAAATAAATAAATCTAACATCGTACTGGCCTTTCATGTTCTTTTAGGTTCTAAAACCTTTATGGGCATTCACACATCTTATGAACATATAGTTGCAATTGTTGTTTGTCGACATGATTCCTACGAATATATGAAATAAATACAAAGATAATTAAACCACGGACTTGAGCGGAAAAAATTTACAAGAAAAAAATTTTGGATTGTGTCCTGTTTACTAGTAGCTGATGTTTGTCATTCTTTATTATTATTATTATTTCTTATTTATTTATTGTTGGCTGCAGCAATGGTTTGATCTTGCATGGTATACGGGATTTCAGGCACGTAAGAATGAAGAAATTCCCTTTTCTGGTCCAGATTCTTCAAATCATGCTGTCTTGAAGTGCAACATCCCAAAAGACACCAACATTAACGAAGCCAATTAAAAATGGCTGCCAGACATATCCTATATACAAAATATTTTAGTCTATATTTGACTATTATTATTTTAAAATTCTTGACTTCTCGCAATCACAATTTCAACCAAACATTTATACAGTAAGTATATTCAACGTAAATCCAATAATTTTCTATACTTTCTAACCACACATTCTGTCAAAAAATCACTATTCAAAACACATTTTTTTCAAAACAATGACCATTAAATAGGAGCTTATTGCGTCAATATGTAATTAAAAATGAATATGAGAGATAAATTATTTTGTTTTAAAGAGAGTCAAACGTGGGCTTCACCATTTATGGCCTTCCAGAATACTGAAACTAATTTCACAATTTTCTTATTTTGCTACCCAAATACAACATAAAAAGCCCTTGTTTAGTGGAGATTAAAAAGAGATTTTCAATAAAGTTTGATAAAAGTTAATGAAGATGTGGTAAAAAAGCTATGGATCCTATAATAAATATGATTAAAACTAATTGTTAATTATAATTTATATTAAAATCTAGATTTTAATCCTTACTAAACCCTCGTTTGGTGCATATTTTGAAGGTAAGAATGTATTTTTACTGTTGATGTGATGAGGAATATGTGATCGAAAATGAAGGAAAAATTATTGATGTGATGGAAAATATTATTTTATTGAAGAATGTATTGTTGAAAATGAGTAAAAGAATGAGAATGAAAAAAATAATGTGGGTCAAACAGGGCCTAATTATGAACTCAACATTTAAATAAATGTGAAAGGGTCGAGTCCCCCATCTTACGAGGGCCGTAGCTGCAAAAGCACGGTGCATGGGCTAGGATATTAGTTGATTGGGCTCAAGATTTGAACTTGTAAACCTTTCTTCCATTGACAAGGAGGTGACATCATAAATTTAGGATGCAAAAAAATGTTAAAAAGTAAATAAATCTAACATCGTACTGGCCTTTCATGTTCTTTTAGGTTCTAAAACCTTTATGGGCATTCACACATCTCATGAACATATAGTTGCAATTGTTGTTTGTCGACATGATTCCTACGAATATATGAAATAAATACGAAGATAATTAAACCACGGACTTAAGCGGAAAAAATTTACAAGAAAAAAAATTTGGATTTTTTTTTTTGAACTTTCTACATTTGTGTCCTGTTTACTAGTAGCTGATGTTTGTCATTCTTTATTATTATTATTATTATTATTTCTTATTTATTTATTTTTGGCTGCAGCAATGGTTTGATCTTGCATGGTATACGGGATTTCAGGCACGTAAGAATGAAGAAATTCCCTTTTCTGGTCCAGATTCTTCAAATAATGCTGTCTTGAAGTGCAACATCCCAGAAGACACCAACATTAACGAAGCCAACAATTATCAGATGATACACTTTCTATAATAGCTTCTGGCATGATCAGTAAGGAACGGGTTCCAGTTTTGTGAGTACTACGTTTTTCAAATTTTGTCTAGCTTACATAGTACAGTCGGCAATATTGATGGGAAACAGAAAATCACACCACAAAAACATTGTCCGGTAAGTTGCACAGCACACACTCAATGTAGTCTATGGATCATTTTAAAGAACCTCATAATTCCTTTCTCGGTTTTGTATTGCCCAAACTTTTGTTAGACTGTTGACTTTTGGTCAATTAACGAATGAATTAATGATTTTTGTCATTTTGTCCTTGTGGTGCGAATATTTCAAAGGTTTGGAAGTGTGGGTGACAAACTAATAATTTGGGTAAAATCTGCGAAAAACAAAAATGTTAGGATCGCGACTACAATTCTCCCTTACAATTAAAAAGTTGTAAAGAATCACTCCGGACCAAGTAATATAGAAATGAAATATCATGAAAATTTACTTCTTTAATTTAACACCAACGTTCAAAAGAAACTGAGATTCGGAGACAGGATTCGCCCATAAAGTTAAGTAAAATGTTACACATGCTGTATCTGGGGATCAAAAATAGGTAGGGGTTAGAGAATTAACTCAACGAAAGAATGTTTACAAATTGAAAAGCGTGGTCCAAAGTTGCTGGGTTGCAGAAGTCAGAACCATGGTAGACACTGTAGAGAGAGAGCTTTCATTAGTATGCAACAGTAGCTATTTTTCACGGAGCGAAGTTGATCACGAAAATCAACAATCATTTTCGCAAGACAAACTAGTAATATTGCTTTGCCTGCATAAAATGTGGGAAGCTAAAAAGGGAAAAAAAGATGGCTAAAGCAGGTCTTCCAGTAGGCTGCTTAATAGCCAATTGTAGAACCATCCAACTTCGCATCCACGAACAAGAATTACTAAATATTTTTCAATACATAAGTCTATTTCATTCTTGAAATTTAAGACATTTCAATTAAGTTTTGGCATGAGTGCAAGTTCAACAACAGCAATAACGGGAAAACCAAGTCTTCTTTTCAACATACTATTGGGTCAGTTAACAACACCCTTTTTCAACATATTTTGCCCTGTAACGACCCGGCCTCTATATCCAAGCCGTTATATCATATGTACTGTCCGCTTTGGGTAGAGTCTACTTAATCCCTCCCAAATTTCTAGCGCGCCTGGGTTTGAATTCAGGAGATGTGATAGAAATCCGTAAGGAGTTAAATGAGAAGATGTCCACCCAAAGTAAACAGTACGTGTAATATAACGGTTTGGACATAGAGGCTGAGTCGTTACAGGCCCACTGCTACATTAACTGAAAAATCTAATAAATTGCAACCACATCAGGCCAAATGCTAATTTTGATCCACCTTTTTTAAACTCTATCGTTTTTAACCAAATCGCATCGCTATCGCGAGTAAGATTTCAGAGTCCCAACTGCCAACCACCTAAGATGTCATTTCATTAAGTCATATGTCAACATGAATTGGTTAACCTTCACTTGGTAAGATTTCTCAGTCCCAACTGCCAACCACCTAAGAGGTCATTTCATTAATTCCTATGTCATCATGAATTGGTTAACCTTCACTTAGAAGCATATATCCTGATTTCTTATTCGATCTGTTTTAGTATGGTCACTCAACTAGTTCAACATCCTCATTACAATTATGTTTACATCTTATGAATATATTGTCATATAACAGGCCAACATCAGTGCCATATAATTCAAGAGATATCTCCGATCACCAAATTTATCTAGCAACTTCTTCATATAAATTATTTACGGAAAATGAATTGAGTTTTTATCATAGAAGTAGCTAGTGAAATGACAAAGGCAGAAACGTAATGTTTAACATGTAGAAAAAAAGTGCAAGAGTAGCAGAATGGGTATCCAGTATAACACCAGTCACCTCAAGAATCCAGCATCACGAACAAGGAATTCATAGTTGCTAGCATCATGATTAATGGATTGACTACTCAAGACTGGCAAATATCATTGATGATTTGGCCTTCTAGCTTAACATTATTTAGATTCAAAACGATAAAGAACTAGAATAAGCACATGTAAGATTGCTATTATCACCAAATAATTTCTCCAAAAACATAATTCTTTCAAGTCACTGAGAAGTACAGGAGATATTTTAAATTTTTATTGCTGCATAGACAAATTTGACACCTAAAGCTTTAATTTGTTTAGGTTTGCTTAACACTTGTTCCAAGCAATTATCACAAAGATAAACACAGTAGCATAATCAATATTTTATTGCTAGCCAGCTACTTCGCTTGTAATTAAATCTATAGTATTAAAAATGTCAAACTTTCTTCTAAGCAATCATCATGGTGACATTTTAATTTATTTCATTGCTGATGTCGAATCATTCAACTTTTCACTCCGCAAACAAGAATTAATAACTCTTTCAGTACATTCCGTTACTATTAATTGAAATTCAGAGACTAAATGATTGTGAATTGAAGCAAAAAGTAATATAAGATAAAAGAAATTTCCATTATGAAATGTAATTAAAAGGAATATTAAGGTATTTTCACCTTGCGTACACATAGTTCAGCTTCAGTTCGTTTTCAAGAAACACACATTACATAATGCTTAAGAAATATATACATATTATGTTACACAGACATCTAGTAAAGTCAAGCATAATTTTTTTTTCAAATTTGTTATCATGGGAATTTAGTGATACTTAATTATACAGATGATACCGATTGTGCTAGGTAATGATAATTTCACAACAGTTCCACACCAAATTATGACCGACATGCTCAAATTTTTTGTCTTAGAACAAGAAATTCATAGTTGCAGGTATCAGGATCAATGAATTGCCTACTCACCAAGGCAAATATCGTTAATGATTTGCAGAATAGAAAAAAATTTCTAGTAAACACTCTTAAGGATTCAAAATGATCGATAATTTGAAGAAGCTCATCTAAGATTGTTGTTATCACCAAATGATTTCCCAAATAACCTAATTTTTTCAAGTTACTGAAAAGTAGAAGAGGCGTAGTTAATTTCTATTGCTGCATAGACAGAGTTGACAACTAAACTTATCCAGTCCATTTTTGTGTTTTTCTTGTAAATAATTCTAAAAATAGTAGACACAAGATACAGGATAAATAAATGAATAATTAATTTAAATACGTAAAAAAGGAAATCTAATATCTTTAAAACATCTATTATTTGGTAACATCAAAATCAACTTATCAAACATGCACTATGATAACCACAAATTTGAAGGAGAATTCATCTCACCGTCTCATTGCATTTATCAATGAAAATCTCGTCTTATCCTATTTGGCAGGTTCCTTTGAGTTATCGGAATCCGAGTCACTAGCATTATAACCTATAACAGGAGTGAAAGATGAACAATTAAGAAGCAACAAATGGAACTACTACTGTTAGCAGAGACTGAGAAACAGAAAGAATGAGACCTGGATGCTTATCTCCAACTTTCCATACCGAAGATCTGCTTTTTGAAGCCCTATTAATCCAAGCTCTTCCCTAGACCCAAACAAGAAAATCAAAAACTAGGACAAAAATATATACCAAACCCATAAGAGAAAGTCCACACGAAATAGTTAAACAAAAGTTAAGAGTATTTACAATAGCAATATCTCAACAATCCAATGACTTGCATTATTCATGAACTTATCGAGGCAGCAAGAAAGTGATAAAGAATGAGCGCCCTCACATTTTCTCAGTAAATTACACGAATAATCAACTTTCTTAGCAAAATCATTTGATTAATTCAATTAAGACAAATACTTCTGATTAAATCGTCAATGCTCATATTAAAAAAAAACCCCATTACTTTCACCATTTATTCCCTCTTTTTTTATCTCATTCACAACATACACGGGAAATCTTATATAAAACCCAAAAAATATCAAAACATAAATAAGTAATAAACACATAATTATATATACAGGATTTGTGTAAATTGTGCAATATAAAAGGGGAAAGCTTTGACCTAGGCAGCGAATGCATTGGGGTAAAGAATCAAATGCACCTTCTGGGCATCTTTTGGGACACCATATCCACCATTATACATCTGGCCCACAAGCACCTGCATGGCCGTGTCACCAGCCTTGGCCTCTTTAAGGGTATTCTGGAACCACCTCTTGACACAGTCCGCCACCACCTCCGCCAGCGGCAGCCGCTGCTGCTCTGAGTTCTCCGCCTCCATCTTTAAGTTCTTCTTGTTTAACCTCGGCTGCTCAGGCGAGTCTGGTCTGAGCACAGTGGGCTCAGGGGACTGGATCGGGTGGGCCTTGAAGACTGGCCTGAGCTTGGATTGGCGGTGAGGCCTGTTGTTGGATGTGATGACTCGGGCAAGTTGTTGGAGTAGGTGTGGAGATGGAAGAGATTTTCCCATAAAATTACGTGAGTTTGAGAATGGTTATGCTTTTCATTAGGCAAAACGCTTTCTTTTTTTCTTTTGGGAGCAAACGAGGATATGAATTAGGGGTCGAGCGACTATTCAATTGTGCAAGTTGACTTTTTAAGATGAGTAAAAATTAAAAAATATAATTTCAGTAAAAATAAGCACATATTTTATTTTATGGAGATTAAAATCAATTTTTTAGTGAGTCTTGATAAAAATTGATTAAATGTGTGATTAAAAGGTCGTAGATCTCATGAAATATATATAGTTAAAATTACTTGCTTTCATCTTTTTGAATTTTTTTTACAGAAAAATTATATATAAAGAGAAATTTAATTAATTTTCCTTTTTTTTAACCAGTTCCCTATTTCAAAAAAGAAAGATTTCATCAATAAAATTACTTGGAATGAATTTTATTATTATTTTTTTCAAAACAGGAGGACTTTACATAAATGTCATAGGAACTGTCCAACTAGTCTAAATGTCGAGTTGGCTCCGTATCAACTTTAACTTCGCTTGAATCTACATGGTGCAATATGATATTTTGCAAGTTTGTTGTTACATTAACTAAAGATAACCATAGTCTCTAAACTTTTCAAGAAAAGTCGATAAAGCTTACAATTGACACACACCACCATCTCATATCAAGACCAAATTTTTGGATTCTCTATATGTTCTATTGCATTTTGATCTTCACTCTTCTTATCAAATGTCAAAAGAATGTAATTATTTCTCCTTTATAAAGTCGAAAGTGATAAATTCATGAATAATAACTGCAATGAACACAAAAATAGTTTCAAATCGAGGTGGGTTAAGAATTTTTGGGTGGGATGTTCTATACATGCTCCAACTAGCCCAATTATGTTCTATATATGCTCCAACTAGCCCAATGCTCTCTGGAATATTGTAGGATTTGTTTCGAGGTGGTATATTGCAAGTGCTTATTACACGTGCATCATTTCTGATACTAGGAAATTATAATTGACTAAAAAAAAAAAAAAAAAAACATTCGACCTAGTTTATCTTGATTCTTTTTTCTTTGTACGCATGCATATTGATCGCTCATCTTGTGTGAGTTTGTGTCTATATATATATATATATATATATATATATATACGTCTTTATGTATTATGCCCGTAACAATAACACTGAATGCCAATTAAAGGAGCACAAATAAAAATATGCGAATTTTATATCATTTTAGCCTATAAATATGTCCATGTTAAGAACATTAATATTTCCAGCTAGAGGAATCAAACGATGTATAAAATGATATGAACTAATATTTTTACAGATCGACTGACGAAGCCCTAAAATACCCTACTTGGCACATGGACATCTGTCAAACCCATGGAGGAGCCTAACCCATTGACCCACATGAAAGAACCGAACCCTTAAACAAAGGAGATGCTACAAGGGGGATTAGAGGGGGATCATTTACACGATCTTTAATATGTAATTGATGTGATAATTCACTACTTCTGTCGCCTTAATCCAATCAACCATGTCAAGTTCGAGCCCCATGTCAGGTTTATGGGAAACAAAATGGTATTAGCATTTAATGTCTATGATTGATTGATACATTTGACAAGAAGCCTCGACAATGTGGATGAAGTTACATATGTTTTTGTCCTATGGCCAACATTCATCCTTTTCGATTATAAAAACTCACACAATGTGTCATTTCAAAGGTAGCACAAGTTTATACTTTCAACGTATAACTTTGCTCTCTTATTATAAACTACAAAGCTCACCCCCTTTTTTATATTGGAAGCTCGTGTTTAAAACCTTCTCACACCCATTTACTTACTACCTCGGGTGACTTGACCGTCGAAGTGCGCACGACCAACTCCACCCCAACGAAGGAAACCATGTGTTGTCCAAGCGTGTAGGAATTAAGATTGCGTGGAAGTAAGAGATCTTGAAATCTCTTGGTCACGTTGGAAGTACAGAATTCAAGGTAAACAAATATCATCTCATATATTTTTTATACCCATAACAACAATATTGTACAATTACAACTCGGACCAATATACCTTCGTCTTCCCCTCTCATTGAATTCTTTCCCATTCTTTTGGCTAAAATCAAGTGGATATTATCCATTGAATGCTATCACGAATAGATGCCCAAAATTCCTTGAAAAAACTCTCTCAATATTTAAAAAAAGGGGGGGAGGGGGGATATGCTTCTAGTGGAGTATGGAATGTTTGTAACATTTCATTATCACGTACCCCACTAAAGTTTATAAGTTTAAAGTATGATTCATTTGTTGGATTTATTAATTTGTTATGTCGCCTACATATGTAATTAATTGTGTATAAGATTATCTTAAAGTTAAACTCAATTAAACTGATTTAATAAATAATTAAATTGTTGGGTTCATGCATCTAAATAAGGTATGTGTCAAATTATATGTGTAGATACCAAATTCCTTTCGAATTGTATTTCATGATAGACGAAATATTTATGGATATATATATATAGAGATATGATCCCCAATTCATATGTAATTCTTATTATTTTTTTATTTTTTTTTGTATTATCACATCAACACAAGAATATTGAAGAGGAATATCCAACTCACAATTAAGAACAACAATCTACAATCAAAAATCAAGATAAAGGAAGGCAAGAATCAAGAATTAGAATTAAAGAATCAAAGGAGGCAAAATTCAAGATTAAAAGTGAAGAACCCAAACATGAAAAGATTGCAGTTCAAGATTTAAAATTCAAGATTCGAAATCAAGATCTAATAATAAAGAATCATTCCCAAAGAATCAAGGTTAGTTCCGCATTATTAATTTTCTTAGTGATTTGACATTGAGCATATTGGCAATAAAGGAATTTAGGTTTTCAAGTTCTAAAATTTCTAGTTTTATAAAGTTTAAAACATCATTAACCATAAATGGGAGGGAGACGAGTTTTTCATCATAATTCGTGGTGTAAGTAATGAGTTACTTTCAAAGTAAATTATTAAACTTTCTCAATATATTTTCTAATTACACTTCTTTAACCTTATTATATAATTATATAATATCTCATGATACTCAAAATGTTACATATATGAATGAATAGTAAACCAATGCCTGGTCGGCTAGCCCCTCTAGGCACCTGGTTTGCTCAACCCGGGCATTGCCTAACTCTTCTCGGGTAAAAAATTATGATACAAAAGTGCAAAATAAAAAAAGCGTTCCTTTATCTCCCTTTCATGACCTCATATTAATGGAAAATCATGACCTCGTAGTAATGGAAAACTACAATAAGCTGTAACTGCCTTGACAACGAATTTAAATGCAGTGTTTCGATTTGGGATGACAAAATATGGAAGGACCTACACGCATCAAAAAAGCTTTGCATTTCTCTTTCATTTGCATCAAACGGTGTCGTATTCTGTTATTAGGTCAGCTGGCTATTATCAGTGCCATCATACAGGGAAAAAATTGTATTATTCGAAGCAAATAAATTATGGGATTCAAGAAAATGTCCGAATGAGCTGGCGTATATGGTAAAACTAGGAAGATCTCTCTCTCTCTCTCTCTCTCTCTCTCTCTCTCTCTCTCTCTCGATATGCTTACTACAGCTTCCAAGTTAGTATTTTGATTGGGTAGCCAAACTTCAATACTTTTGGATTTCAGACACCATTGTATCACATTCCATCCAAGGACGGATTATAGGATTTATGAAACAGATCATTAGCGCAAAAAAATAAAAAAAATATTACAATTTCTTTGAATAACTTGCAATTGTTGTACACAGATTTTAGTGATTTTTTTCATTTTGATTGTATTTTAATATGTTACACAAGTTCATGTTTATTACTAAATAGTCAGTTGGATATAGTGCATGTGATGACACCACGTTAGGGACGATTGGAAAGTGGGGGCATTTTTATCAGCTGATTACGCATATTAAACTTATTTTTTCTTGAACTTTTACACAGTCCCTCGAACGGATGGAAATTTCTTGATTGGTTGATAAAATGAAGATTACAACAATGTCTTTAGATAAAAACGTTAAATTGCTTTTTTATTATTATTATAATACTTTTATAACGTGGCATAATATAATAGTTTGGCATGTCACACATCAATTACATGTAAGATGTGTTGCAGTTTAACTTTCAATTCAATAATTTTATCAATTTAGGAGATATCAGGTGAAGAGATAGTGAAATATGAAATTGAATTGAAATATATATATTTTTTAATACATTAAAATTCCAATGAAATGAAAATCATTTAATGAACGATTTTGTCTTATATTTGACATTTCTATTAGTATACTATCTTTATAAATACATTGAACCCTTAAATTTCAAGTTTCAACGAAGACATTTAGTAGTAAATGCTAACTCGTCATTTAATGTATTCAAATGCAATAATGATACATTATATTGAATCTTTCATGCATGCATGCATGTACTGTTTTTCATTAACACATGGTACTTTTCCTCTGCCTAATAAAAATGGACTTGCGTTTATTTTCATATAGATTAAGAAAATTTAACTAATATAGCTTGAATTAACTTTTACTTAATTTTTTTTAATATACTCTTTACATTGAATAATGATTTAAATAGGAGCACTTCATATTTTTTGTTAATAAATCACGTTAAATAGAGATATATTAGAAAATTAACAAATTCACTATCCTCTCAACCAAAAAAGTGACCTATAATTCAGGAC